CCTTTGGGGGTCTCTTCCAACTCGAGGATTTGATAAATAATAACAATAATTGTGTTGATGGAGTCTCCTTCTGTGGAGGTCGTAAGACTGGATGGTCATCTTCTGGGAGGGCTTGGATTGTGTCTCCCTGCACTGGAGAAGGGGGTGGACTGGATGGGCTTTGAGGGTTCTTTCAATTAAGTATTCAATATATAATAATAACAATAACAATAATAATAATATCAATGGTGTTGACTGAGTCTCCTTCTGTGGAGGCCTTAAGGCTGGATGGACGTTTCACAGGAGGGCTTCATTGGTGTCTCCCCACACTGGAGAAGAGGGTTGGAGTGGATGGCCTTTATGAGTCCCTTCCAACTCAAGGATTCGATAAATAATAATAATAATAATAATAATAATAATAATAATAATAATAATAACAGTAATAATAACAATAACAATAATGGTGTTGAAGGAATCTCCTTTTGTGAAGGCCTTGAGGCTGGATAGCCGTCTGTCAAGAGGGCTTGGATGGTGTCCTCCTGCCTTGGTGAAGGGATTTGGACTGGACGGCCTTTGGGGGGGGGGGTCCCTTCCAACTCAACAATTCAATAAATAATAACAACAATTGTATTGATGGATTCTCCTTCTATGGCGGTCTTGAGGCTGGATGGTCATTTCCTGGGAGGGCTTGGATGGTGTCTCCCTGCACTGAAGAAGAGGATGGACTGGATGGTCTTTGGTAGTCCCTTCCAACTCAAAGATTCAATAAATAATAACAATAATGATAACAACAATAACTCTGTTGATGGAGTCTCCTTCTGTGTTGGCCTTGAGGTTGGCTGGCCAACTCACGGAAGGACTTGGATTGTGTTGCCCTGCACCGGAGAAGGGGGTTGGACTGGATGGCATTTGGGGGTCCCTTCCAACTCAAGGATTTGATACATATTAATAACAATGGTGTTGATGGAGTCTCCTTCTGTGGAGGCCTTGAAGCTTTATGGTTTTTTGCTGTTTAAAGGTTTTATTGTAATATGAATTACGATGTTTTATTGACTGTATGTGATATTATGGTTGGAAACCGGTCTGAGTCCCTCAAGAGAGGTGAGAAGGTCGGTATATAAAACTTTTAAATAAATAAATAAATAATGGCCGTCTGTTGGGAGGGCTTGGATGGTGTCCTCCTGCTCCGGTGAAGGGATTTGGACTGGACGGCCTTTGGGGGTCCCTTCCAACTCAACAATTCAATCTATATATAGAAAAATGCTCTGTGCATAATGAGTACCTTAAAAACAAAAGAACCAATGAACGAAATCACACCAAATTTGGCAACAAAACGTCTCACAATACAAGGAGTGACCATCACTAAAAAAAAAAAATATGATTTTTATCATTTGGGAGTTGTAGTTTCTGGGATTTATAGTTAATCTACAATCAAAGAGCATTCTGAACTCCATCAATGATGGAATAGAACCAAGCTTGGCACACAGGACTCCCATGACCAACAGAAAATACTGGAAGGGTTTGGTGGGCATTGACCTTGAGTTTGGGAGTTGTAGTTCACCTACATCCAGAGAGCACTGTGGACTCAAACAATGATGGATCTGGACTAAACTTGACACAACCACTCAATACACCCAAATATGAACACAGATGGAGTTTGGGGGAAGTAGACCTTGACATTTGGGAGTTGTAGTCACTGGGATTCACAGTTCACCTATAATCAAAGAGCATTTTGAATCCCACCAACGACAGAATCGGGGCAAACTTCCCACACAAAACCCCCACGACCAACAGAAAATAAAGGCCATCTAATTCAACTCCTTTCACCGGGGCAAGAAAACATAATCAAAGCCCTCCTGACAAAGAGCCATCCAGCCATAGATATAGATAGATATGATTCACACACAGATATAGTATCATAGATTTGAAAGGGACCCCTGAAGAAGGACAATTATATGTTGCATGTTCCAGAGTAGGCGAACCAGACACTCTCCACATCTACACTGACAAAGAAACAATAAGAAATACTGTTTACCCTGAAACATAAAGACATTACATATATTAGAAACCAACAATTTCTCATTACTTTATTTTCCAGACTGGGCCACAGCAACGCGTGGCAGGGGACAGCTAGTAAATAATAACAATTGTGTTGATGGAGTCTCCTTCTGTGGCGGTCTAGAGGCTGGATGGTCATCTTCTGGGAGGGCTTGGATGGTGTCTCCCTGCACTGGAGAAGGGGATGGACTAGATGGTCTTTGGTAGTCCCTTCCAACTCAAGGATTCAATAAATAATAACAATAATGATAACAATAATAACTCTGTTGATGGAGTTTCCTTCTGTGTTGGCCTTGAGGATGGCTGGCCAACTCACAGGAGGACTTGGATGGTGTTGCCCTGCACCGGAGAAGGGGGTTGGATTGGATGGCCTTTGGGGATCCCTTCCAACTCAAGGATTCGATAAATATTAATAACAATGGTTTTGATGGAGTCTCCTTCTGTGGAGGCCTTGAGGCTGGATGGCCATCTGTTGGGAGGGCTTGGATGGTGTCCTCCTACCCTGGAGAAGGGGGTTGGACTGAATAGCCTTTGGGGGTGCCTTCCAACTCGAGGATTTGATAAATGATGACTCTTCTAAAGCCTTTGACTGTGTGAATCATAATAAATTGTGGCAAGTTCTTGGTGGTATGGGGATTCCAAATCACCTTGTCTGTCTCCTGAGGAATCTATATATCGACCAAGTAGCAACAGTAAAAACAGACCACGGATCAACCGACTGGTTCAGGATTAGGAAATGAGTATGGCAGGGCTGTATACTCTCCCTGGACCTATTCAACTTGCATGCAGAACACATCACACAACGTGCGGGGCTTGACAAATCTAAGGCTGGAGTTAAAATTGCTGGAAGAAACATTAACAACCTTAGATATGCAGATGATACCACTTTGATGGTTGAAAGCGAGGAGGAGCTGAGGAGCCTTCTAACCAAGGTGAAAGAAGAAAGTGCAAAAATTGGCTTGCAGTAAAACAAAACAAAAAACTGATAACTGGCAAATAGAGAGTGAAAACATGGAAGCAGTGACAGATTTGTATTTCTAGGCACAAAGATTACTGCAGACGCAGACTGTAGCAGGAAATTAGAAGACGCTTACTTCTTGGGAGGAGAGCAATGACCAATCTCAATAAAATAGTGAAGAGTGGACTTCACACTGGCAACAAAGATCCGCATAGTTAAAGCAATGATATTCCCCGTAGTAACCTACGGATGCGAGAGTTGGACCATAAGGAAGACTGAGCGAAGGAAGATAGATGCTTTTGAACTGTGGTGTTGGAGGAAAGTTCTGAGAGTGCCTTGGATTGCAAGAAGATCAAACCAGTCCATCCTCCAGGAAATAAAACCCAACTGCTCATTGCAGGGAAGGACATTAGAGGCAAAGAGGCAAAGATGATGTGCTTTGGCCACATAATGAGAAGACAGGAAAGCTTGGAGAAGACAATGATGCTGGGGAAAATTGAAGGAAAAAGGAAGAGGGGCTGACCAAGGGCAAGATGGATGGATGGTACCTTTGAAGTGACTGGCTTGACTCTGAAGGAGCTAGGGGTGGCCATGGCTGACAGAGGGCTCTGGCGTGGGCTGGTCCATAAGGTTATGAAGAGTCTGAAGCGACTGAACGAATAAACAACAACAAATAACATTCTTGATGGGGTCTCCTTTTGTGGAGGCCTTGAGGCTAGATGGCCATTTCACTGGAGTGCTTTGGATGGACTAGACGGCCTTTGGGGCTCCTTTCCAACTTGAGGATTCAACCAATAATGATGATGATGATAACAATAACAACAACAACAACAACAATGGTGTTAATAAAGTCTCCTTCTGTGGAGGCCTTGAGGCCGAATAGCCATTTCTCGGGATGGCTTGGATGGGGTCTCCCTGCACTGGAGAAGGACGTGGACTGGATGGGCTTTGGGGGTCCCTTCCAGCTTTAGTATTTGATAAATAATAATAACAGTGGTGTTGATGGAGTCGCCTTCTGTGGAGGCCTTGAGGCTGGATGGCCATCTCTTGGGAGGGCTTGGATGGTGTCTCCCTGCACTGGAGGAGGGGGTTGGACTGGACGGCCTTTGACCGTTCCTTCCAAATGAAGGAGTTGATAAATAATAATAACAGTGGTGTTCATGGAGCCTCCATCTGTGGAGGCCTTGAGGCTGGACTGATACCTCTCAGGAGGGCTTGGATGGTGTCCTCCTGCCCTGGAGAAGGGGCTGCACTGGATGGCCTTTGGGGGTCCATTCCAACTTGAGGATTTGATAAATAATAACAACGGTGTTGATGGGGTCTCCTTCTGTGGAGGCCTTGAGGCTGGGTGGCAGTCTCCTCGGAAGGCTTGGATGGTGTCCTCCCGCCCTGGAGAAGGGGAATGCACTGGATGGCCTTTGGGGATGCCTTCCAACTTGAAGATTCGAGAAAAACAATGATGATAATAATGGTGTTGATAGAGTCTCCTTTTGAGAAGAGGGTTGGACTGAATGGCCTTTGGGGGTTCCTTCCAACTGGAGAAGCCCATGGCCCTAGGCAAGGAACCCGGTGTGCTGCAACCTTCCAAGAGTTTCAAATGACTGGAAGGGGCTGTGGATTCACACCCCATCCACACTACCATCAAACCCCCACATTGTCTGCTTTGAGCTGGATGATCTGGCAGTGGGATCAGATTCCAGGATAGAAGGCAGTGTAGACCCAGCCTCAGTTTCCCTTGCGTTCGCTTCAGTTGGGGAGGGGGGATGCCCTCCAGAGTTCTCCCCCTCCCTCCCTCGATGGCTCTCCTTTTGGAGGCACTCTGTACGTGGTCAGAGGCCCCCTCGAGGTGAAGAGAAAGAGACCTGGCTCCCATCCCTCCTGGAAAGAAAGAGAGGTGGAGGCAGAGGAGGACTTGGCGAGCGGATCGCTGCGGTTCCTGGCCGCCTCCGGGGGTGGGGTTAAGGGTGCCCCCTCCCTCCCTCCCTCCCTTCATCCCTCTCTTTTTGCCTCCCTCCCTCCTTCTTTCTTTCCTCTTCCTTTTCTTTCCTGGGTCCAGCCTGCGCCATCCCTTTGGGTTGAGGCAAGCAGCAAAGACCTGGAGGCAGGTTGCCAAGCGCAGGAGGCGGATTTGCCTCCCTTTCTTCCCTCTTTTGCTGTGGGAGGGGGGCATCTCCTTCCCCTCTCCCTCATTCCCTCCTTCTCCGCCCCCAAACCTCCCCTTGACCCCCCTTTCCTTCCTTCCTTCCCTCCTTCGTCCCTCCATCTCTCCCTCCTCGCCTCCAAACCGTGCGTTTTTACGCACAGACCGGCTCCAGCAAGGAAGGGGGGCGCATCTTTGGGGAAGGCAGGAGAGACCTCTTTCCCCACTTTTGGGGTTTGCATTGGGGGGCCAGAGGAGAGGAAAGACCCCTCTTCCTTCTGCCCCCATTCCCACCTCCTTGGGATTCAAGGGAGAGGAAGAGAGAGCCCTTCTTCCAACACCCCACCGGTTGGCTGAGCTTCCCAAGCCTTCCCTTCTTTCGTCTGCATCTCCCCTCTTTCCAAAATAAGCTTTCCCCATTCTACAGCACAGCCAGGGAGGTAAGAAGCGACCAATTTTGAAAAGAGGGGTGTCTTGCTGCTCTCCCGTTGCCCCCTTTTCCTAGCCTTTTCCGGAGGTCGGGGGTTTAGGGAGGCTGACAGACAAAGGCAAGGATGGAGCAGATGGAGTAAAAGGGAGGTACAAAGCTCTGTAATTTGGGGAGATTTGGGAGGCAGTGGGCCATTCTTTGGGAAGACCAAACAGGGTACCAGGCAAGGTTTGGTCTGAGATAGAGCCCAGTCGCTGGAGAGAGACCCAGCTAAGGAAAGAAGTAGGGAGGTGCTTGGGAATAGAGGTGGGGTTTGGGGCAGGGGGAGATTTGGGGAGAGACCTCATTGGTGCCTCTTTCTCGTCCTCAGATCCCTTTCCTCCCTCTCTGCATCAGCCGGAGGAGCCCCCAAGACCCAGACCAAGGGACCAGGCTGCGGAAAAACAAGGATGACACAGCCTGGCAAGCAGCAGTGCCGTTGGCAGTGATGGGCTTGAGCAAGAACGAGGTCGTCGTCAAAGAGATGCCAACACCCCTCTTCGGCCTCTGGATGCCACCCTCCTGACGGAAGCAGCATCCCTGGCAGCATCACTCACTTTGGGTGCCTTGGGGAGGCCTTTTGAGCACCGTGGGCTCAGATTTTGCCCCAAGGGGCATCCCATTGCCTCCATCCATCTCCTTTTCCTTGGACTGGGCCATAGGGTCAAAATCCAAGTAGCATTTGACTGGCAGGATTGGGGAGCATCATCCAGAGAAAGCCAGGCTTCCATCTTTCCTTTGGGGGGAGATGGTGGCAATGCCACCTCATTGCCACTCCAGGATGTGGCGTCACATTTGAGGGGGCCTTCAACCTCGTGGGCTCACAATCCCTGACGGCACCGTGCCTCAAAATAGAGTGTTGCTCCTGGAGTTTCGATTCAGGATTGCACCAGACTCAGACGTGAAGCTTCAAGGCATCAGGGCTTCGCTCTTGGCACCACCGCAGGGGAAAAGTTTGGACGTGGCTCTCCTTGAGGTGCCCATGGATCCCACCATGCATGGCGGACCTCACCAGCCCCAGGACCATGAACTGATGCCCGCTCTTTGAGCCCTCCCCCCATGCCCAGTCTGCCAGAGCTGGCACTATGGCCCGGCCTGGCACTGGGACCCTGGTCTTGGCCAATGGGCTGGGCTTCCCTCCCAGCAACGTGGCCCGTGTGGTGGTCTGGGAGTGGCTGAATGAGCACGGGCGCTGGAGGCCTTACACGGCCGCTGTGTGCCACCACATTGAGAACATTCTGAAGGAAGATGCCCGGGGCAGCGTGGTCTTGGGGCAAGTGGATGCCCAGCTCTCTCCATACATCATCGACCTGCAGTCCATGCACCAGTTCCGGCAGGACACAGGTAAGTGGAAGGGGAGCACCTGCAGGGGCTGGGCTGGCCCCACGTGGGCCTTGAGTTGCCAGTGCAGGCACTCAGTAATAGAACCAAAGCATAAAGCCTTTTGTGACCTATGTCACTTCTCAGTTGAAGGCATATATTGTTTTTGGACAAAAAACCAAAATAACTTTCCTTCCCTGCACCTAGATAAGTAGGTGTTTTGGGAAACCATGTTCCCTGACATGCTAGATTGCGACATGCAAGGATTTTATGTTCTCATTTGAGCCAGCTTTTCTGAACATACCTCCAGATGTTTGGGCTCTATTTGTTGGACTGGTTGCAACTGTAGTTCAAGGTGCTCTGCTTTCAGTTTGGGCCCAGTTTTGTTCACATAGCTCTAAGCAGTGGATAAACAGACCTAGGGTAGTGGAAACCAGGGTATATTTGCCACCAGATCTGGTGTTTAAGGGACTATATTTTCTTGTAATTTTTTGCCACATATCCACGGAGTTGGTTTGAAGTTGAGTTGCAATCATAGACTCCTGAAACCTTTGGACTTGGCCTAAGGTCCAGGAACCTGTCAGTGATCTTTCTGGGGGCAGTCAAGAGTTGGTGCCCAAAGTCTTTGTGCCACTCTATTAGGAAGCATGAGGAACATTGCTCAGCATCCTCTTCATCTCTTGCAAATGTCTTCGTTTCATTGGTTTCAACCTTTGGGTATGTGTGTTGAATTGGCAAAATCTCCCTGTATGTAAAATCTAGCAATTGGATCTATTTGGCCAACACAGTATTGCGGAGCCATTGTATGTGGATCAGCAGTGGTGCCAAATGTATGCCCATGGGCATCATGGGGGTTACATGTGTGTCAAGCTGTGCCTTCATTGGCATCTGGGGTGTCTTGTTAGATTGCCATTGAACACCAGGGCAATGAATGCATAATGCCACATGAGGAGCTCAATACTTTCCACCAGCTAGCAATCTGTAGATAAGGGGCTAATCGTCAAACAGGTAAAACTTAGTCTGCACATCTTTCTGTCTTGTTGCAGCAGAATAACACAGCATTTGACTGGTATTTCTTCCCAGGACACCTTTGTTTCCCCCATAAGCATCTTGATCTCAGAATTGCCAGAGATAAATGGCCCCACAAAAGGCTTGGCTGCTGCCTCGAAACACACAGCTTCATCACTGTCCTGTTCTGTTTCTTCCATTTCCCCAGTTTGAGGAACGTAGCATAGGGTTAATACTCTGGACTTGTATATTGAAGGCTAGGAGGAGAGCTGGTTTGAATAATAATAATAATAATGATGATGATGATGATGATGATGATGGCCCACCTGAGCATTTACAGAGTGCTTTCTGCACATGGAATCTCCAGGCAGCAGTGTATGTATACAGGGCCTGTGTTTTGAATTCTAGGATCAGAGCTGGCTTGAAATAAATACTACTACTGCTAATACTATTACTACTAATAGTGGAGTTCGTCTGAGCATGTGCAAAGTACTTTCTGCTTACCACAGACAGGGTACACTGAGTCTCCATACACGCAAGGCCTGTAGTTTGAATGCTAGGATCAGAGCTGACTTGAAAATCATCACCATCATCATAGGAGTTCATTTAATACTACTACTACTACTACTACTACTAATAATAATAATAATAATAATAATCTGACCTGTATTTGAACACTAGGATCAGAGATGAATTGAATTAAATAATAGTAGTAATCGTCGTAGTTTAAGTAACCTGACTTGAATTTGAATGCAGGATCAGAGGTGACTTGAATGAAATAATGATGATGATGATAATAATAATAATAATAATTCATATGAGCATGTGCAGAGTGTTTTCTGTTTCCTAAAGACGGGACATGTTGAGTCTCCCAGCAGTCATGGTAAGTATATGAAGGTGACAGAACATCACCAACATTGGAGAGACCCCGGTTCAAATTCCTGCTTGCTGGATGACTGTATATAGGTCCTGTCCTGAAGCCTGACCTACCTAACAGGGATGTTGTGAGGATAAAACACATTAGGGGTGAGAAGGGAGTTAATCCAGAGCTCCTTGGAAGCAAAATGAGACCAAAAGATCTCCAGGAAGCTGCAGAGCCTTGTGTTTGGATGTCAGGTCTAAATCCATTGGACTGTCGCCTTTTGCTTCTGTTTCCCAGGTGGCCTGCTTACCTGCCTACCTACTTATCTATCTATCTATCTATCTATCTATCTATCTATCTATCTATCTATCTATCTAAAAAGTAGCATGATTGAGCAGCTCATAAAATCTGCCCTGGGACCCATTAGCGTCTCTTGAACTCCTGCCCCGTTTTGAAATCCATGCAATGTTTGAGGAGAGCTTGGTTTGAAGTCCTCTAATTCTGGGGCCTCACTCATTATCCAGGGAGCGTTGAGTTACAAATAACATATTTATAACTAGTTCCTTTGGAGTAACCAGGATAGAACAAAATGCCATTTTGTCCTCTCCATTTCCCTCCTCTCATTCTCCCAGCATCATTGAGATACATGGCATTGCTCAGAAATAAAACAACCCCGGTGACAAACGGCCCTGCCGAAGACCGACAATCTAATAATACTATTTTTCATCAGATTGTTGACAGTCTGATTATAAGGAAAAGAAATGGAGGAGGAGGAGGAGGAAGTCGATGGGATAGGAACAAAGGCTTGGATGTCTTTCCAAAAATACCTTGCCTTGACGTCGGCGTCTGCAAAAGATCCATCTGTGTGTAGCAGAAGATGGCCAACTGGAAGAGAAGGCTTTTTGCAGGAGGAAATGGCTATGAAATTCCCTGTCACATTGGACAGAACAGGTGTATATTTACCAAAGGTTTTTCGAATACAAAATAATGACCCAAACACATCTTATCCTATTGAAAAGCATCATCTGTATTGTATCGCCAGCATTACGGTTTCTTTCTGCTTCAGATGGCACACCCAACATATCATTTTGGGTTGGATCAAACATCATTTCAGGTCGAAAGAGGGGTTAGATATTGAAGCCGGAGCAGTTTTCTATGGCATTTAATTCCCAATTAAAAACAGATGTCGTGCCTCACATCACCAGTGTAGCAAAGGAGCATTACCTAGCGCCATCCAAAAGTTACTTTTCAGATCTCTTAGCATCCCAAAAGGTTCCCATTCCATGCCATTCAGGTCTCAAACACTCCAAGATTATTTCTACAGTGATACCTTGGCATGAGACATAGGCTGGCATTTTGCTTGGAGCAGACACCTTTCCCTGCGGCCGATTGAACTGAGTTGTTTTGCCAAGCCCACACTCACCATAGTATTGCAACGTATGGGCATCTGCTGTACCATGGTTGACAGCGGCGTGACCCATGCTCCACAGCGGGCATCAATGCACATCGATGTGCTCCCCAATGCTCATCCAGATGCCAGCAAAGCAGTGCTGGATGGAGCTCAACCAGACTGCCTTGTGGGCATCAGAAGGACCTGGTGCCCAGATCAGTTCCCAATGTACAACTGAAAGGCCCGGATGTTCTGATGTGTTACCAATCTTGTGGGAGGCTTCTCTCATGTCCCCACATGAGGAGCTTGCACACGGCCAATTCTCTCACACCAGGAGCGACTTGCAGTTTCTGAAGTCACTCCTGACAATAAATAAATAAACAAACAAATAAATAAATAAATAACTGAAAGGCCCAGTGGACATCAGAAGCAGTCAATGCCTGATATGCCTCAGGAGTTCCTGATTCCCATGAGAAATGCCTGATGTGCTTTGGAGTAGTCTTGCCAATGGCCAGGCCCATTTTCAGAATACACTGCCCACCCTCTCTCTATCCTATCATCCATCCATCCTATTCTCTCTCTCTCTTTATATCCATCTATCTATTCTAATCTATTCCTCCATCCGTCAATCATATCATTTGTCTGTCTATCAATCTGTCAAGAGAGTTGTAATTGGCATTCTCTGGCAGAGCAGGCTAAAGACCTTGTAAAACTACAAATCCACCCACCCCTGCCCCAGCTCATTGCAAGCCCATTCCACTGGGCCAGGGCAGTTCAAGTATGGTCAAACGGCATTCATTTTAAAACATAGATGTACCCGGGAGGAGACAATTCCCTCTTTCCTGGTGTGAGCTCACTATGTTTCCCCAAACCCTTGGACACCAAGGCCTTTCCCAAGGTATGGATTACATGGGCGATGCTTTCTGACAACTCCAGGCCTTCCAAACCCTCCTTGCCTTTTTCCTTTGGTTCCATCTTGTTCGTCCTCAGGGCATCTCAATTACGCTGGTCTCATTAAATGCCTTCCTTTTGAGGTTGAGTGTCTGGCGAGGGTGTGCCCACCTTGGCATAGAAGCCCAAATGTTCTTCTTTGATTTTTAAATCCCGCAGATCAGGTTCGAACCCAGTTCTCAAACCACACCAGGTCTCTTGAGTTACAACTCAACTTAGTGGTGTCATTTTTCAGGGAGGACAGGGTTAATTATAAGTGGTTTGTCACTACTTCCTTCCAAGCGCGGATTTGGGACCAGCCCAAGTGAGGGCAGGGCAGGGTCTTGCCTTGCTTGACATTGACCCCATGTCCAAAATCTATGCACCTGTTTCCTGGCCAAAAGAGTTCAGTTGAGGTTGAAAGCCTTGTTTTGGATGCAGTGGTCAAGGGATGGGATGGGGTTTGCCTTCTCCTTGGATTCTTTCCAGTTGCTTTGCTGTTTCCGGATCCCTTTCAATGGAAGATGACCTTGGAGACATCCAGGACACATTCGTCTCAGTGGTGGCTCAATTCAAGCTGACCCTTCCAGAAGGCCGAGGATTAACTGGCTGAACCAGGAGAGTTGGAGTCATTTGACGGGGTTTTCTGGAAGCTTTTGAGAGTCTAATAAGGTATTTTCGGGGCCCAACAGGTTCCTGCTGGCTCAGGGACAGATACAGGAGGAAAATAATCTCCCAGCATTGATCCTGGCCTCCTGTCATGATATATGATTCCTTCTCCTGGCAGGTCTGAGATGTAGGTGCCTTGGGACCTGGCAACCCAAAGCAAGGAAA